ATACATAATAGAGGTAAAGATACCCGGTTCCCATTCACAGGTAGTAAAATAGGATTATTATGCAAGCTCCATTAGGGTACGGGCGCCATTAGGGTACCCATAAAGGGGGGCGGGGTATCTTAACCTTTAATATATAGTTACAGTCGTAAAATCAATTACGGAAGATAGAGCATTCTGTATGGCTGCCCCAACGTTGTGGAACAGTCTACCATACTTTATTAGAATTGTACCTCTGTAAATAATTTTGAACAACAACTACTAAGTTAGGACGTTTATATTTCGTCAAGCTTTTGATTAGGTTGGAACGTTTCTTAGTTTAACAAAGTTGTAAAATTCTTAACTTTTGTAATGCGCATTTGAAAATTGTATTGGTTGACAAATGCGCAATATAAGCTAAAAATTATTATATATTAATTATTAGAGAAAAGTGACGGTAAAATTTTTTTAAAGATAACAGATAGTGATAGTCACCCACTAAAACACATGTTACCTGACTCATCTAGGCATTTACGTAAAAAACTCATTGTGGCCAGAATGTAATACGAAACATTTTAAAGATAGTTACTTTAATAGATTGATTTTTAAATGTAATTTGTACATATAGATCTAGTAGCATTAGCTTAAGTTGTTACTAGATACCTGGGGCCGGTTGTTCAAAGGTGGGTTAGCGTTAACCCTGGGTTAAAATTTAATCTGCTGTTTTATTTTGTGTATTTCTGCACATCTGTTTATTTCAAAACTTCAGAGAAGAAAACTTCTATTGATTCAGATAAGATTTCTGAAGAAATATTTCCAAATTTATAAACAAGCTGTCAGGAAGTTTGCTTTGAATTTTAAGTTAACCTACAATCAGTGACAAAACACTTTGGACAGAATAGCAAAAGAGCATACATTACAACACAATCGACCCCCCGCACCCCTTGTTCAATGTTGTGTGTGGAAATTCCGGCGCAAAACGTTTCTTGGCGGCCACCCAACATTGTTTAGGGTGGGGGAGGGAGGGATAGTGGTTTTATGCTGAACAGTATTTGGAAAGGCGCAGATATGTCTATATTATATCACTGTCCAAAAACCTTTTGTCACTGATTGTATAGGCAGCTGGCAGAATATTGTATCATAAATATAAAGTTTTTGTTACATGTTCAGCCTTGATTGAAAAGTTTAAATTTACCAAGAACCTGAACAAGTGTTTACCCATTACTTGGCTGGTCGGCCGATGATAAAGTAATTTCAGTTAAACGTGATATAGGTATAAATTCATACACATATAAATGGGCTTAAAATGTAGGGTTGGGGAAACCATTCCTTATAGCGAGGTTTTTGCAGGTCATATAAGGTGACACGGTTAATTTTCCATCCCCGAAAAATAAGATGAGCAATGATGTTGTTCTCGAGGGAGACACGCCATTCCTTGCAACGTGTGACGCCCCACCTGATTTAATTAACAATCGATCTATTGATCACGTGAACACAGAAATGATGAATGTAAGTTGGTGAATGTTTCTACTCCATAGACATATTCTGCGTGATGAACAAAGAAACATTGCGGCTTGCAATCAGTGCTTTGCTGAGTTAATATTATACGTTGAACAGTGATCTGTAATGATGTGTTTTAATTTAACATACATTAAGGCGTCAACAAATAAGTATTCTGGTCATCACTAACTAATTAGCTTATGACACGTCAATGAATCCCACACAAATCCCAGTCACATTTTATGTAGAAAAGGCAATTAAGTCCAACAATTCTTCTGTTTTTCTCTCTTAGCTTATTGTGCTTATGTCAAAGGAATTGGTTATGTGGATAACTTCGAGCGAAATCAATTTGATTCAATGAAATTCCGATTTTCATTGACGATTCCCACTATTTATAGTATATTGAAATATGACATCATAATTTGTAAATGGAAAAGTGAGAATCGTCTACTTTTAACCCATTTTCGCTGTCTTTTATAACGAAACGTGTGCATATTTGAAGCCAAAGTATTAATTTATTCCTTACTCACGCAACTGTGCATTTAAATTCCCAACAATGATCATATACATGTGAGAAATTATGGAAATTATTATGCGAACAAGTGTGGGATTTGTTGATACAGAAATACGACATACGATACGTTGTCGTAGTAACTTTCTCAGTATTTTATTCTAAAGCCGCCAGCCTGCAATACAACGTACATTCGCGTAGGCATGCTTGTGATAATATTATTAAAATAATCTACATAAATATTATATAAAGTTTTTATAATTCTAGTCTTAAATTGTCTCCATAGACGCCCTCTAGGGGCTAAAGCGTCACTAAGAGGCTGTGTCTTATAAACAGAAGAAATCCCGTCTGAATAGAAGCCAATATTTCGCCAGAAGAATCCGGGCTTTCTGGAAAGAATCTTCTTGCATTGTTGTGCAAACGCCTTTCCTCCCGTGTGATCACGGCTTGTTAAAACCCCCTTTTTACATGCAGGTAAATAATCAAATCCAGCTGCCTTCACCTCACAATAAGATGTCCTATAGGAAATATGACGTGACAGTAGCCTGCTGTGCGCAACCAAGCGCTTAACAGTAAAATTTGGGTCTTTATCACGAAGAGTTTTTATTATTCTTATTAATTTCTCCGATCTCTATCTGACAGCGTCTTTGGTCTACCAATTTTCTTGCATGTCTTCAAATTTGGCTTGCACTGAACTTTTCCTCTCAGATAACAGAGACTGACGATTTAGATTTTTTGCTTTTTTAGCAATCGTTCAGCAGGAATATCGTTCCTATTTGCCTAGAAATGGCACATATGCTCGCGTTGTATCTGAAATAGTTGTTTTATAAGCCATTATTTCTTGCTTTCTATATAACTACCTCTTGTTTATAGCATGCATACATACTGTGTGCTTTATAATACTACAGCTTTGAGATTAATCCGGATGTTTACGATGACGTTATATTCTCCACAAAAGTTATGTAATAAGCACTTAAAGATAATTGCATTTGCTTCCGAACGTGTTTACTAGCCCTAAATTCCAGATTGCTCCACTAGTGTAGCTTGCAGTTCCAAACTACGAAGTTCCTAATGTTTGAGTAGTTCTGGAAACGAGCATAAATGCATTATGATTAAACTAGAATAATGACATACAATGTATGTGTAAATTATCCATGTATACGCTCACCAAAACACAGCATATATAATATTTGTGAACACCATTGGTAATACTATAAAATACAAGTAATTCTAGCTTAAATAACTAAAATTTTCATTTGGCTTAGAATAACGTTTCTGACAATCAGTGACAAAACACTTTGGACAAAATAGCAAAAGAGCGTACATTTACAACACAATCAACCCCCCGCACCCCCCGTTCAATGTTGTGTGTGGAAATACCGGCGCAAAACGTTTCTTGGCGACCACCCAACATTGTTTAGGGTGGGGGAGGGAGGGATAGTGGTTTTATGCTGAACAGTATTTGGAAAGGCGTAGATATATCTATATTATATCACTGTCCAAAAACCTTTTGTCACTGATTGTAGGGTTAAGCTAACCCAGTTTTGAACAACCGGCCCCTGTAATACTATTTTCTTAAATATGTAAATTTGATATTGTCGTCATTCCAGTTGATCAAAAATCTCTCTCTTTGGGCGACCACTGACAAGTTAAATTGTGTACATCCTCATTTGCCATCACTCCAGCCAAGCAAAAACTGTTGCCTTTGTTCAGGTGTCTAGGAATCAGAAAGGTTTGGTGTAAGGCCCAAACTGCTCGTTCTCAATTCCCCATTCCAATGAGTGACTGATGATTTCGACATTTTTATTGTACACTAGTTGTCATTCGTGTTCGTTCAAATCAACATTGGATTCCAGTTCAAATCAACACTGCATCCAAATCAACACTGCATTTGGCATAGGCAGAAATGTTACTGTTATTCTGAGATAATTGTTTGAAAATGCTCAGAAAAATTAACCAAAAAAATCTTCACATGGTTATCATCATGAGGAAACACTGAAAAAGTATTGCTAAATAGAAAAAAGGCTTCCGCACAATTTTGGCTGTGCAAGTGTGCATTGCCAAGAGTTGACACCATTACTAAAAAGGTAGCCATAAGAGATGGTGGTTTTACACCCGTATTCTAAAAGCTCACTCACTCAATGAGTGGACGTTCAATCTCAGCTTCTATTGAGTCTCAATGCTGTTTTTGAATAGCTGGAGGGTACCTAGTAAGGTATGACACTAGCCCTCCAGCTATTCTTATTTTGAAAATATAGAGGTCTTCATCGTGTTCAGACTTGTTGGAACAGTGTCTGTAAATTTTTATCTTGTTCTATCTCTTTCTTCGTTGGAGTGATACTAATTCAGTGTCAAATTAAACATAAAATTCTTGTGATTCAGTGGATTTATCTTTTGTGCTGTTTGTTTGTAAATCTTCGCATATATTTTGGATTTTTATTACCGAAGTTGTCTATCGTGTTGCAGTGCCTATCCTGGCTTCGAATCGTGAATTTTGGCTTTGTCTTTTTCTCGTTTGCTGCTTATTGGATTTGTTTCAAATTTTCTCTGTGGACTACGGTGTTTTGTTCCTGTTATCGTGTCGAGTTTTGGTATTTTAACGTTAAATACAATTTAAATAATTTGAGTTTTAAAATTTTGACCGTTGGGATTATCTGAATAAATTGCGTCCAGCGTCATTTGTCATGGCAACATCTTTATGTACCTGTAATGAAGCTTCCGTCGTTTAATGTCAAGTTTCTACACTGGAATCGTGTTTGTCTGTTATTCGTAACATTTTCAGTTACTTATTTTTATCCGTGGTGCAGTTTTTCGTGTGTTTTGGTGTTCCATTTATGTACTGTCGCGTATGAACTAATTCCTGACCTTTGACTCCGGTTATATATATCTTGAATAATATCTCTGGTTTCACTACAATTAGGGGATTTCCCGCCATTAACTATACACCATGTTTTACTTCAAATCAAGTTACCACATCATCTTCCTGTGGTTGGTCTTATTTGGGGTACATAATATGAAGAACATGTGGAAGTCTAAATTTGTGCGTCTCGCAGCACCGCCAACCTCCACGAGTGTTCTCATCGCCTCAGAACTCACTATCATCTCTGATCGCCTTTGTTTTCTTTGGACGTCCACCCGAGACAATACCTTAAGGAAATCCAACTTTCCTTGTAAACACCGATATGGCTTGGAGTTTCATATAAAGCATGAAAAATCGCATTTAGTCTTTTTGATCCTTCTTGCTGGTGATATCGCCACCAATCCAGGTCCCACTACGCAGTCAGGACATCTACTCGACATACAATCAACACAAGTACCCCAACGTTTGCCCACCCATAGTGAAAACTCTCTAAGAGGACTCGAGTGTCTTTATTTAAACTCGAGAAGTCTTAAAGCGTTCGTTCAGGTTGATGACAACGATCCATCCAAAGTTTGCAAAATTACCTTATTTCAGCAATTGGTCTACAGTGGCGATTACGACATTGTTAGTGTATGTGAAACTTGGCTCAATGATTCTGTCCTTGACAGCGAGTTGTTGAAGGGATATTCCATCTTCCGTAAAGACAGGGTGGAGAGAAATGGTGGTGGCATTCTAGTTGCTGTAAAGGACACTATTAGCGTGAAACGTCGATTTGATCTTGAAGACAATAGCATTGAACTTGTCGTCGTTGAACTTTCCCAACTTAATAATCAGTCCATTATTTTGTATACCTACTATCGCCCTCCAGGTTCTCCTTTAGATGATATACAACAACTGAGTTCATCCCTTGCAAATACCCCTGAATCTAGCTGTGTTCTTCTAGTTGGTGACTTTAATCTCCCTGCAATTGACTGGTCATTTGATCAGCCAAGCCCCTCCAATGTCAGAGGACATCTGGAAGACAAGTTTTGCGAACTATTTGCCGATTATTTTCTTGAACAATTAATTCCTGGTCCGACGCATCGCGGTGGTAATAAACTTGATCTACTTTTGTGCAACTGTCCTGAAATCATTAGAGGTGTATCAACGTCTTCTCCCGAACAATCTAGTTTCCCAACTGACCATCATATCTTAGTATTTAAGATTCAAAAACCGATCTCTCGGGCTAAATCTATTAGACGGACAGTGTTCGATTACAGGCGCGGAAATTTTGAAGATCTGCGCAAGTCTCTATCTAACACACCATTTGATGGTACACCCCCAGAAAACATTGACGAGCACTGGTCTCGCTGGAAGGAATGGTTTCTGATGCATGTTGATAATTTTATTCCAGTGAAATTGGTTATGGACACGAACTCGCCACCTTGGATTGACGGAGAAGTACGTCATTTCATTCGAAAGAAATACGCAGCATTGAAGAAATTTCGACAATCCAAGTCCGCTGCTCGTAAACATAAACTACGAACATTGAGTCAAACCATCAAATACTTAGTCAGACGAAAATACCGTGAATATCTTGCCAAAGTCAAAAATTCTTTTCAAGATAACCCAAAACTATTCTGGAGTTATCACAAATCCATACTCCATCATCGTGTTAGCTCAAATGCAGAAATTTCTTTCAAAGGTGTCACGGCAAAGACTGCTGCCCACAAAGCTGAACTTTTCAACATGTACTTTTCTTCTGTTTTCACACCCTCACGACCTAACACCCATTTAGCTGATGCTAATAACTCCATTCCATTGAGAACTGATCAGACATTATCTGATGTTACCATCAACGTGAATGAAATTTCGGAATGTTTGAACGGTTTGGATACGTCAAAAGCATGTGGTCCTGATGGCATCCCTTCTAGACTCCTGAAGGAATGTCACCAACAAATCGCACCAAGCCTCTGTGATATCTTCAATCATTCACTAGTATCTGGTCGAGTTCCTTCGGAGTGGAAATCAGCAAATATCACGCCCATACACAAGAAGAAACAGAAAGAACCGGCGGAAAATTATCGCCCAATCTCACTCCTTCCCATTATTAGCAAAGTCATGGAACGCTGCGTGTATAGCAGACTTTATCAGCACGTCCTGCATCTAATTTCTCCACATCAACACGGATTTCTTAGAAAGCGGTCTTGTGTTACACAGCTTCTCTCGTCACTTCATTCTATTGGTCAAAAACTTGATAAGAACACACAAACTGATATTCTTTACCTTGACTTTGCTAAAGCTTTCGACTCTGTGGATCACTCTATTCTTCTCAGAAAACTTAAAGCCTATGGAGTGTCAGGTAGACTTCTTGATTGGTTCTCTGATTATTTAAATAATCGTCGACAAAGAGTTGTAGTAGATGGCGTCGCATCACAATGGACACCTGTTACATCTGGAGTGCCTCAAGGTAGTATCCTAGGACCAATGCTGTTTGTCATCTTCATTAATGATGTTGCCAATGTGGTGGAAAATGGATCAATGTCGGCCTTATTCGCAGATGACACAAAGGTTTATCGAACAATTAAATCGGTTAGTGATTGTGACCAGCTGCAGCAAGCTTTAACCAACCTAGATGTTTGGAGTAGCGACAACAACATCAAATTCAACGCATTAAAATGCAAAGTTTTATCCGTCACGCGAAAGAGAACCCCAATTTCCTACGTTTACTGTCTAGGTTCGCAACAGTTGCCGAAAGTTGAGGAGGAGAAAGATCTCGGAGTCACCCTATCCAGTAAACTATTGTGGGACTCGCATGTGAATGAAATAACGTCGAAAGCCAACAAACTGCTTGGTTTGCTCAAACGAACTTGTCCATCTTTAACGGTTACCAAAGTCAGACGTACTCTTTACCTTTCCATCGTAAAATCGCAGTTATGCTACGCAACGCAAGTATGGTCTCCATTTCGTAACAGAAAACTGAGTGGAAAGATCGAGAGTGTTCAAAGGAGAACCACTGGGTGGATTTTAAAAACCAAGACTGGCGAGATGTCCTACACACAACGACTGCTGGCATTAGAACTCTTACCTCTTTGCTACGACAGAGAAATCAAGGACCTTGTTTTCTTTTTCAAAGCGTTATACGGTTATATTAACCTTAACATTAACGATTATGTTTCTTTTGTTGATCATGGCCGTACTAGACTCAGTCAGATCACTAGCGTTATCCTCCAAACACCTTTGTGTAATACCACTACATTTAAATCATCGTATTTTAACCGTATAGTTAAACCATGGAATATTGTATGTAAAGAGGTTAATCCTGAAACTTTCCCCAGCCCCATCTCTTTTAGAAACTTTCTCAAACTCAAATACTCTCACCTTGTTCACACAGTCTACGATGTTGAATTACCCTGTACCTGGTCCTTGGTTCGGGACTGTCCCTGCCATAGGACTTAAGTTTGTGTGCGTGTGTTGTGTATATGTGTGTGTATGTGTGTGTGTGTGTGTTTATCTCTCCGTGTGTGTGTGTTTGTCGACACGTCTCTCATTCTTTCTCTGTTTGTACACCTCTTTCATTTCTTTCTTCTCTCTCGTACACTCCTTCATAGTAATTTTGCTAACATATATATATATATATATATGTATATATGTATGTGTATGTGTATATGTGTATGTATGTATGTATGTGTATATATATGTATATATGTATATATGTATATATATATACATATATATATATATATATATATATATATATATATATATATATATATATATTTTTAATAATTTGTGACTTCGCTGGCAGGTGCCTTGCATGGGTCCAATTTCTAGAGTCCCGTTCGTACCTTGCCATTTTGGATCACTCGCTAATATATAGTATAGCTATCCAATTATTTGTATATAGTCTTTCTTTTTTTTTCTAGTTAGTGAACTTATATTGTAATAATTTGATCCAAATAAATTTGTTAAAATAAAAAAATAAAATAAAAATTCAAAAACAGCATTAGATTGAACCTCCACTCATTGAGTGTGAGTGTGCTTTTAGAATACTGGTGTTAGATTTGATGAACTGGCCCAGCATTTGAAAGACTGGAACTGCCCTATGGGTGCTCATATTCAACTGGACAATGCCAGGATATTGCAACTGGACAATGCCAGGATATGTTGGATTCTATTTACCCATAAAGGATGGTTTGCCAGATGGAGATGCTTTTATTTTTTACACTTTTGAAGATCTCGACACAGTTGTTAATTCAAAACTGTGCGTTTCAAATGGACATTGCATAGTAGCTAAACCAGTGAAGGTGGAAGTTCCCTCTTTTGTTGACATTGAGTGGAGATATCAGAATATCACTAAAACTAAACTGCCTTTTATCGCTAAACATTGAGTTTGAAATAAATTGATTTCAAATTCTCACATGAAAATATCTTTGCATTCATCTTTATTTAAATATTTTAATGTAACTAGGGTTCCAAGGATAGTGTAAAGTTTCAAATTGAAACTGCAGGAAGAGATAAACAATTCCTTATCACTCTCTTTGTAACTTGTGTATTAAATGTTGAATTGCAAGAGCTCTTATTTGAGCATGACAAGTTTCTGTATTGTAAAGCTGATCACTTACACTACGAAAAACAGTTACCATAGGCATCTCATCTATTGTTTGTAATGCATTCGACACATGAGTAGTGAGACATTTGAAACAAGCCTACCACATCAGAAACGTCATGCCTTGTGTAACTGATACAATTTATTGTGATGCTACATGTGACAACTTGAAATTTAAATCGCTTCACCAGCAACCAAGTCTTGTATATTCAAAAACTACATTTGCATTGGGAGCTGTCACTAAAAGTATCCCCACAAGGCTACTGGATACTAAACTTATTTAAAACTATGATTATTCCCATCATCCTTTTAGTGCCCATATTGCAAATTTGACTATTGTCTCAGTGACACTCTTTAATTGAAATAGCTGTATAACTAGTTATGAATAATAAGGACTACGACATTGCATCCATTACAAAAAACAAATCAAAAACACAGAAATGAGGTGAAAAAACTCCTTAAAGTGTATATGTAATGAAAATTTAGATATCGGGTATTTTGCATTTCCTGCAAATTTGGTCTTTCGCGATCACAAAAATACCAAACTTGTTGAAAAATTCGAACCAGAAGTTTGTTAATTTTACGATTAAAGTTACATTTTGAGAATATGTTCAATCTGCTGGCAAAAGACTAGTACCTACAATCCTGGCAAAACTAATGAAACATCCAGTTTGATTAACAATTTAATATATTCTTCCCCCTTACAATGTTGATTAAGATGAGCAAGAAACCTACACATAGGACTCTCGGCCATCGATGAACTATTGTACACAATTTTTTAGAATATATGTCCAACATTGTGCAGGGGGGGAGGGGATTTTGTCTGTTTTATTGATTTTTTATAGGTGTTTCATTAACTTTTTGCCAAGATTGTAGAGTTCCGGCCTTGTGGCGTATGCAGTGTGACACGTTGAAGTGTTTGACTATATGAAAACATCAAAATATCCAAAAACAAAAGCTTTGAATCACAGACAGAGACAGAAGGGTCAACAGATAATGAGGACATCACTGAGCAATCGTCTGTTGTTCAGCCATATCAATTTCAGCCAGTCGCAGATAATGACTACGAGGAAGACCAAACGGACAAAGGCGGCATTCTTTGTGAAACTCTTGAGGCAAGATTTAAGAAAAATATAGCTGTTAATTCATGGTAAGTAAAGTTATAAAAGTAATATTATATTAACCCGTTCCTCGCCTATTTCCCCTGTTTTGTCTGATATGTGAGTTTATTTTAACTCATTAACGCGCAAGCTGTTACAATGTTTCTACCTCCCAACGCGCAAGCAATATGGTGAATATGTGATTGAATTCAAGAGCTTTCACCAAAATGGCAATATCTCAGAAACAGTTGCATGAAAAAATCTGGTCTTTTCAACCAAATATTATTGATATATGATTGACCAAATTTAGTTTAAATGCACTTGCATACCTATATATATCATTAGTTTTTTCAATGAGAATTTTTATTTATAAAGCAGTGACACTTTGTTTTTCATGTCACTCATCACCTAAAGGGGCAATATCTCCATAAATTTATATAAAAACAAAAAAAAAATTATTTACTAAATTAGTACATATCTATAGGCCGGTTTACACGACCAGTGTTTTGGGCACGGCACCCCTAAAAATGGGCACCCGTGCCCAAAATTTTAGGCACGGCACCTCAGTCTTTTGGCATGTAAACGTGACAAAAATCGGCACCGGTGCCGTAAAATTTAAACATGCCGAGACTTTCTCACGAGGTAGTCTCAGCACGTCTACCAAGCGGTACCGTGCCCAAATTTTGGAAAAAATAAAAAATCTGTTCGACATCGAGCATGTGCAAAACAAATTGTCCTCTTTCCAATATCGCAGCAAGCGGCCAAAAACTACAACTTGCCAAAAATAAAAAAAAGCTAAAAAACAACTTTAAATAACACGTTTACTCGGAAATTTGATACCATTGTCCGTCGCTGAATAGAGCAGTAACTAGGTCGTAGCAAATGGCTGTCCTTTAATATGTCGATCCATATATACCTCTCAACTTCGTGGCAGGTGAATACAAGATAACACAACATTTACGCGAAAAAACAACTCGTTTCGTATTTAAGGGCCCGTTCATATGGGCAAAAGTTATCACGGTTAACGAGAAAACTATTCGACTAGCCAAATACTTTTGTTCTGTTCGCATGGAGAAACATTATCCCGCTTGCCGTGTAAAGTTTCCGGGAGTGACGTAGCACTGAACATGAATTGAATAGTTGCTGACACGACAGAAAGTTATCCCGCTAAACAGGAAAGTTGTGTTCATATGGGAAAAACATCCCGGTCACCGAGATTTGGCTTGTCAACAAGCGAGATCTCGGTACACAGGAAAACTTTTTGTCTTGTATGGACGCAGTGTAACTTTTCACATAATTTTCATACCAAGGCGAGATCTCGCTTGTAAACTTGTCGAAAAGTTTTCTCGCTAATCGGGATAACTTTTGCCCATATGAACAGGCACTTAACTCTTTATCGTCCGGCGATAAATTTCCTATTTTTCATTCAATTGCTTCCGATGTAAATATCTCAAAGAGTATTTAGCCCCCTTTAAACCGGTTTTTACTCGCACGTGCCGAAGCTCTCGCGTAAATTTAGATATTTTGAAATTCCGAAATAAAAGATGCAAATCGGTTGATGCAAGCTTGAAAATAGCACTCTAGATAGTGTTTTGGATTGTGATTCGAACAAGACTATTATGAAAAAGATATCTTGAAAGGGGCCGAAGTTATGTTCGGCGAAAGGTATGCCTTTGTGATACTTGTTATTTTCATCTATTTAGCATACACTGAACCGAGTTAAAGTACTTTTCTAGTATTGAATTGTTTTTTTCCCTCGATTTTTGGCTCATATAATACCCTTCTTCGTTCCAATAAATATAAATATATAAATATATAGGTGCCGTTTTCCGATGGGCACGGTGCTTATCATAAAAGTGTGTCTACAAAAAGTTGTTGTGTAAATGAGTAAATAGCGAAGTGGGAGTTTTGGCACGGTGCCCATTTTCAGGGGTGCCATGCCCAAAACGCTTGTCGTGTAAACCAGCCTTATATTATAACCAATTTTCATCTATTGGGATATGAATTAGAAAATGATCATAAAAAATTATAAAATATAATCCTTTGCTTTTTTGGGCAAGATGTTTACAACATGAAATTTAGAACAGCAAGTAAGTGTTCAAATTCAACAAAGTGTGCAAGCCAAAACACAGTGCTTGTACAGGGTGTATAAAAAAAAAGGTAATCGAATTTCAGCGCGCTATTGTACGTGAACCACTCGGCGTATGAACAATTGGTTTTCATATTCAAAAAGATCAGGCTTTTAGCTATTGAATGACATGCTTTTCATACCAAGTGGAGAAAAAATAAGCATGTACGAGGCCGATCTAAAATGTTAGTCAAAATCGCATATTTTCACCTCTGTGCCTAATTAAAACAATGCATAACAAAAGAAAAAGCAATTAATCACAAACGAGCTAAGATTTATTCCTACTTAATAATTAATTATGAATATGTGCGTAGTTTAATTAAGTGAAATTCATCAACTTAAGTACCAAAGGGGGTTCATTTGCAATGGTATTAGACCCAACTCTCAACGGTGAAAATATGCGATTCTGACCAACATTTTTTATCGGATTCGTATTTGCTCTTTTTTTTATCCATTTGGCATGAAGAAGATATCGTTCAACAGCTAAAAGCATGATCTTTCCGAATGTGAAAAAATCTCGTTCATACGCAGAGTAATTCAGATACAATAGCGCACTGAAGTTCGATTACCTTTTTTTTATACACCCTGTACATCTTTCAAGTTTTTAATTACTTCAAATATATCTAGAAGGACATATGGTACTACAATTTATTTGTTTTCAATATAAACCAAGGATGGGAAGGTGAGAAAATAGGAATTTTCTGAGGTATTTTTAACACAGACAATGACAGCCGACATTTTCAAAGGCAAATTGTGGTGACAAAACCAAAAGCTATTAACCTCTCTACTCAAAGCACTGAAAAACACCATAAAAAGAAAAACACTTTAAACATACATCAGGTAAGACTTTTAGCTCAATTTTCTCATGTTTTTGTTGGACAAGCAACGGTTTTTAGCCAAAATTATTTTGCGCGCCATTGTAGGCCTGCTATAAAATGTCAGACACGCATTCTCTTTTGAAGTCTGGCTCTGAAAAACAATCGCTTTTTTTTAGTTTGAAACAAGCCTTCATAAGGACTATTATGTAGAAATGTTATCTATATGCTCAAATGAAAAAGATAACCTAATATTCAGGTGTTCCACATAGCTATAAAAGGGTGAAATAAGAA